CTCCCATGAGTTGTTTCTCCCATCCGTTTGCGTATAATTGAACTTGTAAACGTGGCGGCCGAGAAAGGTCGGAGGTGGGAGAGATTCAGTCACGTGCATGCCCTGTGACGACGTAACCCTCCGGAAGAAGTTTCCCTTTGTAATTCACACGCTCCTGTTAACTTTAGTTGTGTGATACCACATCCGTGTATTTGCCTAATATTGTCACGCGGTTTTAGCCCTTTCTGTGTTCAGGGGCCTCCCTTCTGTTTTTGTGATGGAGAACGTGAGCACTCGTTAGACGTTGTTAGTAATTCCGCTTTGAAAATAAATTTCTTCGTAACAGTTAATTTCAAAATCCTGGAGGAGTCTAACTGAAGGTGCAGGGGGAAAAAAAAGAAAAAAGAACCCGGCTTCTATCTGCAGCCCTTCCGCCGTGTGCCTCGAGGCTTTCCTTGGGTTTGTGCAGAACCGAACACAGGAGTGCACTTGCTCTCAAGCTGGGAAAGCCTGTGACTCTCCAGCACCCAGTTTCAAGGGCAGGTCCATTAAGGGCTTCATTGTGTTAACAGATCGACACCATGACGGGTAAATGTAAACATGTATGGTACAAAATAAAGTTTAGCAAATTAAGTAGCTGTTGGCTCTCTTGTAGGCTATGTCCTGGCTTATTTGAGAACAGGGTTCCCCCCCCCACCCCCATCACCAGTGAACTACACACAGCGGCCCAGCCTGGCACGACTGTCGTCAGTCCTGCGAGGGTTGTCAGTTTTCCATGACAGAAGATGCCACCGAGGTGTCCTTTCTGCGCTATACCCTTCCACCGACGCGAAAGGGTGTCCCGCAGATCTTGGGGGTTTCTAGAAGTTTCGAAAACAGGTAACTGGTGACATGAATTTGTGTGAACATGTTAGTGTATTTTGAAAAGCGGCCGGAAGATGAAAACCCTTCCTTCCCCTCCCTTCAGACAGAGGCAGGTTTTCAGCTTAAAAATTCAGTTTTCTCCTGCCCAACGCCCTCCCCTGCCAGGGCTTCCTGAACCAGGGTGGCGGCTGCATCAGTCACCTGGGGTGTCTGTGAAAAGTACCATTCCTGGGCCCCACCTGCTGATCCGGGGTCGCTTGGAGGTGGCATTTGTGCTGGGAACCTGTATCCTCGGCAACTTCTGAGAATTCTCATGCACGCCCAGCGGAGCGGCTGGTGGAGAGCTCTGGACGGAGAAGTTTGCGCTTGAGGAAAGGGAAGGATCCTTCAGGGGCAAGGTTGGGGGTTTCTGAAAGGTGAAGGGAAGGGTCAGGGAGGGAAGATGCACAGGAGACCGAAGGGGAAACCAGCCTTTGGGGAAAGGGGATGGGGGGATGAGGCGCCAGGGAGGAGGCACATGGAGACCCGGTAATTGATCTGGTGTTGACTGGGTGCAATTGATCTGGTATTGACTGGGTGCACCGTTCTCCCTTGGTGCAAAAGCCATATCTGGCCAACAACTTTACCTCCCAAGATGCAGTCAGTTACTCCCTCTAGTTCACCCAGCCCCGCAGCAGAGGCTGAAAGGCTGACACGGCCGGAAGTTGAGGGGACAGCCAGGGATGCCCCCCCCCCCCCCCC